GCGGGAATCGAACTCGCTACACGTTGTGTGGCAGCCGGTTGCCCAGCCACCGTGCCAACCGTGCAGTCAAATTTGGTCAATCGGTGTGGGAGGTATGTGCATCGAATTATGTGAATCAGCATCGCTAGATTCATCTACAATTGTAATCATTAATTACGTATTATATTAAATACTATAAGAGCAATCATTGTCATCATCACCATCATCATCGTCATCGTCAATTCCTTTCCGTATTTGTCGTGTCGGTCGTATTTGTCGTGTCGGTCGTATCTGTCGTGTCGGTCGCATTTATCGTCTCGGTCGCATTTGTCGTGTCGGTCGTATCTGTCGTATTTGTCTTGTCGGTTGTGTCGGTCCCATTTGTCGTATTTGTCGTGTCGGTCGTGTCGATCGCATTTGTCGTGTCGGTCGTAATTGTCTTGTCGGTTGTGTCGGTCGTATTTGTCGTGTCAGTCGCATTTGTCGTATCTGTCGTATCTGTCGTGTTTGTCGTATCTATCGTATCTGTCGTATTTGTCGTGTCGGTCGTGTCGGTCGTATTTGTCGTATCTGTCGTGTTTGTCGTATCTGTCGTATCTGTCGTATCTGTCATATCTGTCGTGTTTGTCGTATCTGTCGCATTTGTCGTATCGGTCGCATTTATCGTGTCGGTCGCATTTGTCGTATCTGTCGTATCTGTCGTGTTTGTCGTATCTGTCGTATCTGTCATATCTGTCGTATCTGTCGTATCTGTCGTATCGGTCGTATCTGTCGTATTTGTCGTGTTGGTCGTATTTGTCGTACCGGTAGCATTTATCGTGTCGGTCCTATCTGTCGTATTTTTCGTGTCGGTCGCATTTGTCGTATCTGTCGCATTTATCGTGTCGGTCGTGTCGGTCGCATTTGTTGTGTCGGTGGCATTTGTCGTATCAGTTGTATTTGTCGTGTCGGTCGTGTCAATCGCATCTGTCGTGTCGGTCGTATTTGTCGTGTCAGTCGTATTTGTCGTATCTGTCGTATTTGTCGTATCGGTAGCATTTATCGTGTCGGTCGTATTTGTCGTGTCAGTCGCATTTGTCGTATCTATCGTATCTGTCGTGTTTGTCGTATCTGTCACATTTGTCGTATCGGTCGTATTTGTCGTGTCGGTCGTATCTGTCGTATGTGTCGTGTCGGTCGTGTCAATCGCATCTGTCGTGTCGGTCGTATTTGTCGTATCTGTCGTATTTGTCGTGTCGGTCGTATTTGTCGTGTTAGTCGCATTTGTCATATCTGTCGTATCTGTTGTGTTTGTCGTATCGGTCGTATTTGTCGTGTCGGTCGTATTTGTTGTATCTGTCGTATTTGTCGTATCTGTCGTAATTGTCGTGTCGGTTGTGTCGGTCGTAATTGTCTTGTCGGTTGTGTCAGTCGCATTTGTCGTATCCGTATTATCTGTAGTGTTTGTCGTATCTGTCACATTTGTTGTATCGGTCGTATTTGTCGTATCAGTCGCATTTATCGTCTCGGTCGCATTTGTCGTGTCGGTCGTATCTGTCGTATTTGTCTTGTCGGTTGTGTCGGTCCCATTTGTCGTATTTGTCGTGTCGGTCGTGTCGATCGCATTTGTCGTGTCGGTCGTAATTGTCTTGTCGGTTGTGTCGGTCGTATTTGTCGTGTCAGTCGCATTTGTCGTATCTGTCGTATCTGTCGTGTTTGTCGTATCTATCGTATCTGTCGTATTTGTCGTGTCGGTCGTGTCGGTCGTATTTGTCGTATCTGTCGTGTTTGTCGTATCTGTCGTATCTGTCGTATCTGTCATATCTGTCGTGTTTGTCGTATCTGTCGCATTTGTCGTATCGGTCGCATTTATCGTGTCGGTCGCATTTGTCGTATCTGTCGTATCTGTCGTGTTTGTCGTATCTGTCGTATCTGTCATATCTGTCGTATCTGTCGTATCTGTCGTATCGGTCGTATCTGTCGTATTTGTCGTGTTGGTCGTATTTGTCGTACCGGTAGCATTTATCGTGTCGGTCCTATCTGTCGTATTTTTCGTGTCGGTCGCATTTGTCGTATCTGTCGCATTTATCGTGTCGGTCGTGTCGGTCGCATTTGTTGTGTCGGTGGCATTTGTCGTATCAGTTGTATTTGTCGTGTCGGTCGTGTCAATCGCATCTGTCGTGTCGGTCGTATTTGTCGTGTCAGTCGTATTTGTCGTATCTGTCGTATTTGTCGTATCGGTAGCATTTATCGTGTCGGTCGTATTTGTCGTGTCAGTCGCATTTGTCGTATCTATCGTATCTGTCGTGTTTGTCGTATCTGTCACATTTGTCGTATCGGTCGTATTTGTCGTATCGGTCGTATTTGTTGTATCTGTCGTATTTGTCGTATCGGTAGCATTTATCGTGTCGGTCGTATCTGTCGTGTCGGTCGCATTTGTCGTGTCGGTCGTATCTGTCGTATCTGTCGTGTTTGTCGTATCTTTCGCATTTGTCGTATCGGTCGTATCTGTCGTATTTGTCGCGTCGGTCGTATCTGTCGTATTTGCCGTGTTGGCCGTGTTTGTTGTATCTGTCGCATTTGTCGTGTCGGTCGTGTCAGTCACATTTGTTGTGTCGGTGGCATTTGTCGTATCAGTCGTATTTGTCGTGTCGGTCGTATCTGTCGTATGTGTCGTGTCGGTCGTGTCAATCGCATCTGTCATGTCGGTCGTATTTGTCGTATCTATCGTATCTGTCGTATTTGTCGTGTCGGTCGTGTCGGTCGTATTTGTCGTATCTGTCGTATTTGTCGTGTCGGTCGCATTTGTCGTATCTGTCGTATTGGTCGTATCTGTCGTATTTCTCGTGTTGGTCGTGTTTGTCGTATCGGTCGTGTTTGTCGTATCTGTCGCATTTGTACCTTGGCTTCTCAGGGCTAAATCCATACATTTTCAATAAAAGAATCCAAAGTGATTTTAATTAACTGTATTGTAATTTTTTAAATTACTTTTATTTCATGTATGTTACATGTATGAACATCACTAATTAGTAAGTAGTAGCCCCCTCACTATAATGTGTTATATAAGGTAGAACACTTTTCATTAACGCCGCTGTCTACCTGTCATAGTCTAAGTGTGTGTACACGTCGTGCGCCCTGCACATTATTGTAATAAATCCAAGTATAATAAATCCGTCTACAATTTATTAATCCACCAACATAACAATGTATAATAGTGACAATTTCCTTGGTGTATTTCGATGGACTTTTAAGTTGTAACTATATTTCGTTCAGAACAATACTCGTAAAATACTTTTAGCAGAGATCTTGTGCATGTGAACTTGTATGATGATAAACGCATGCACGAGACAGGATAATATTCTAGTGTGGGGCAACTTTTTTTTTCAAAAACAAAGTTAGGACTTTGTTAAAAATGGCCTATGAAACACGCATGAAACATTTATCATAATTCTTTTTTCTTAATAACATACATTACAAATATATCTATAGAACGGACACTTTTTAATTTCGAGAGCATTTTAAAAAGTATTCACGTCTATCCTCAGCTTCCGTAACAATACTTTGTGATAGTTCCATTACTTTTTGTTCTATTTGAGGTTTTTAACAGGCAAAAGTATTATAGGTCATATCTATAGACAAGTTTTTGTAACAGCACTCTTAATGAGAGTGTGACACAAACAAGGATCGGTATTTTCAACTCTTGATATAAGATAATAATTTTTGGTTACAAAAAGTCCGCTATGATGGCGTAGAACCATAGCCAGTGCATATTGTGCTCGATCTGGGTTTGCATACTTAATTCGTTTGCATTTTCTTACTTTTCTGATTTTATCTACCCACTTGGGGTGAACAAAGGACTGTGACTCTTGAAATATAAACCTCTGGCTTAGTTTTACTGGTACGGACCTAAATCGAACAATGACCTGACTTATTATAAACGGACTAGCGTAGTAAACATCGATATTGAAATAAGTTATTGATGTAATTATAACCTCGAAATCCGAGAGTGTTTTGATTATCTCAGAATTCTCAAAAGTGTCCGTTATTTTAATTTAGGTTCAATCGAATATATACATTATCTAAATTCAAAAAGTAAATAACAACTCTCTGTTGGTTCTTAGGCGAACTATGTATGGACGACGAACTATGTCCATGCGGTGAGATTGTGGAATTCGCTGCCGCCTAGCATACGCGACTCCAAGTCCTTCTCCATTTTTAAACGACTTGTCAGGGATTATTATCTTTCGTCCTGAAGTACAGCTTTATTTATATATATATATACATTTATATGTAATCATATTTAAATATTTCTAATTATTTTATTTATTATGTTTGTTATAATTTGCTTAAGTTTATATTTTATCATTATATTACCGTTATTCTAGTTTTATAGTTCTTTCAGTAATTTTATTTTGTTCTGTATTCGTTGCATGTATCATCTATCTACACTGTGTCTTGTCTTATGTTTAATTTCCTTTTCCTGTCGCAGGTCTGCAGGAAGAAATCCCTTAAGGGATATGCAGTACCTATGTACCTCATGTTTATAATGTGTTGTCCTGTGTAATATTGTCTGTGTGGTGTAGGTACATAAAATGATAAATAAATAAATAAATATGTCCTTTGACCCCAATTTAAATAGAGATTAAGTCAAGCTCAATATAATTAGGATATAATGAGTAAAGAAAGCATGGAAGAATAAAATAATTTCAATAATGAATTATCTGTCTTTTGAATATTTTATATTTGGAACATTTTAATTTTAAGGATCACAATAATTTAAATAAACATTGAGATAAAAACTGACCTCTGAATTTTATATTTGGAACATTTTAATTTTAAGGATCACAATAATTTAAATAAACATTGAGATAAAAACTGACCTCTGAATTTACCAATGTGTGTAGGTAATAGAGTCATCAGTAAAAACTATCACACTTCAACTTTTAGAACTAGATATTTACTTTACATAGAACTTGATATTTTATGGTAGTAGTAGAAAAATAATAAGTAAGGTAACACAAACAAGAAATTAAACAAAAGGATAGATTTTTTCTAAAAGTTTAATTTTCGCCGCAGTCTTATAAAATAAGGAGTCGTGTCGACTAAAGACTATCTACATTAAGTATTAAGTGTTTAATATCACATGAGAAACAGTGGCAGTGTGCGCCGGCACTAGTGGTACTCGTGGTGCGCAGGCGCAGTGTTGTGGACGACCGCGTTGAAACTGCAACACACAGGTAACATTGTAGTAGCGTAATCAAGTCGAGGAAATGTTAAACGTTTTGCATTCCAATGTTCAGATGTAAGCATGTTATGTTCATGTTTTTATTGAATTCGTTTACTTTTAATGGTGTTCATAGAGCGTAATCATAATTGCAGTGATTTGTTTATAAATGGTTAAACTGTCTAGTTATGGTGGTCAATCTTGGGTTGAGTACCCAGTTCAGGAATTATTAGTATCTTCGAAAGTCTGTCAATGTTCAGACGCAATAGCACTGAGCTTGCTTCTTTTACATAAATTCAAAACATAACTGGAAGAAGTCGGTGCCTTCATTCACCCGATGACCAAAAGATGGGTGAATTTCTTTTCTCTCTAACCTTTTGTGGAAGGAAGTCAAGGCGTAAAATATTTGATAGTTTATTCAAGTAGTTTCTTACCCGTTGTGGTCATCAGCGGTGTAGGTGACCTTCCTGAAGGAACCGTCGGGTTGCAGCAGGGAGTATTCTCCCTTCACTACATCACCATCACGGACCTCGTGTTGGGTCTTGTGGTCACCAGTGTGTGGGTCGGATACGGAGTAAGAGTAGTCGTATTTAGGGTGGGCCTAGAAAAAACAAACAGAAAATGGGTTATGTTACCTGCACAAATATTTAAGTTCTTTGTAAACAATCAGGAATTTCTTGGGAATCTAGCATAATCTGTATATGTATATTATGAAAATTTATACAAAAAAATCCTTTACACTATTTTCATGTCTATGAAGAAAAAAATATTATATACCAAAAAATTTTACTAGGTTCAATGTTCGTTACTGACCAACTATAACATTTTATATCATAAGTAAAAGTAAACATAATAGAATATAATATATGTTGAATACTGATTAAAAGTGCATAATAAAGGATACGTAACGTCATGTTTTTGGTAAGTTTTTATACAGTTGAAGATTTCAATCAACTTGCAATGCTTCGTTGCACCGCGAAAACCTGCTTTGTTATACATGAAGTTGAGTATTAAACCGTTTCCAAAATTCATTTCCAATGCATGCAAATCTTTGATCTACGTCGGAGGCCCGTTAGCGTGGACTAGGAGATCTAGTTTGATCCCATTATTGTTGCGCGTACTACAATGGTGTGTACTGTCAAGCGCTTTACGCAACTTTGCATTTGGGTCGACATCGGTCGGCAACGATTCCACATCTACCATTAAACGAGCGTGAGAGCACGAGCCACCAAGTTTATGCAAACAACAGTCCAATGGCCTGGATATCATGGCAGTCATTACGTCCCGGGCCTTAAGCGCGAATGTTGCAACCTCTTGGGAACCGCTATGTTATCGCTCCTCCAGTTACGACCGGGATATACTTGGCTTTGCAAACCGTTATGTAATGCGAATTATTTCAAATCACTACCCGCGGCGTCGATTTATGACAGCTTATAGAATATCGACAGAGGATTATATGCAGCTTTATATTCGAGAGTTATGATCGTTATTTTGATTTTTAGAATAATTTGTACAGACGTTATAGCGACTAATTCCACAAGTTTACGATTTGCGAATAAAAAAGACATTCGGTGTAATTTTTTTAATTGTTTCTGTAAAACGGGTAATTGAATAAATCTTGTAAGAGTCATAAAACTGTTGTTTAAACTTTTTGTGTTGGCGATAAAATTGCGTCAGTAGTAATTTAGAGTTTCATCAATGACGGTGCGATAAATGAGGGCTGCTAGCGCAAAAAGCTTCATAAGTTACTTGCATGCAGTTTACGAGACATCGGACCTACTGATTTGCATGATTGCGATAGAACTGTAGAGGAAACGAAATAATTATTTATGTTTATTTGCTTGATCCCATTTTATGAGAAAATTGTTGTGGTGATGTAATTGGTCCTGGGCGCTATGGGACTACTGTTTCTTTGATAGGTATCGTATCTAGGAAACAGATTCGATTGTGTTGGATCAGGCGTTCAACACTCGCGTTTATGCAAGCTATTAATTAGCTTGTTACTATTGTATTACGAAACGAAATAGGTAACACAGGCCTAGGGAAACAAAACCAGCTCTTGCTGCTCCACTTACCGACGAGATATTAGCAACAGTTTGTTTGCTGGTAACGTAACCGTTATAATTAATAGAAATTAGCGAGATCATGAATGTAATTCACATGTCGTGACGACACTTCGGGTTTGTTACGAAAACGATAAGTTTTTGCGCCAACTTTTTATGATGTTACACTTAGGTAGCTTTATATGGCTATTGTACTGGTAACTCTTGTGTTCGTAATAGGCTCATTAGTAGTGCGTGAAGGGTCTGTCATTTTTGGTGTCAAAATATTTAAGATGTATTCTTTTTTATTTGTGCGTACTTGACCAATATATTTGATAGTTGATGTGTGAGAACGGTCCAGTTGGTACGACAGTGAGTGCAGTGTCGTAATGTCCGCGACTATTACAGTGTGCACATGCTCTTAATGCGAGTAACGGGAAACAATGCTCATTAGCTGAAGGTTAGTCTTTTTATTTTTTCTATTTCTGATATCGTTTTGATTTTATGTAGGCCATAAAAGTGCGTCGTGCTTTAAAGTAGTTGATTGACCTAGTTTAGGAAAATTTTGTAAAGATCATGTATGAAATGTCTCCTAAAATAATCAGATATTTATTTTCTCTACTGTCTCTTTTTTACTGCTGAGACTGCCTCGTTGGCCGAGTGGTCGCCAGTTCGATTGCCGGGCAAGGGGTCTCGGGTTCGATGCCCGGGTCGGGCAAAGTATTACTGGGTTTTTAAAAAACTCAGTAGTAGTAAGGAGTCTGGGATTGAGCCCGGTATATGTCAATAGGCTCACTCTCTATTACATGGGACTCATAACATAAATAGTGAAAAGTGGGTGCATAATGTGCACCTCTGTCTACCCCTTCGGGGATAAAAGGCGTGATGTATGTTATGTTATGTCTCTGTTTTACTTACATGGTAGTCTACATGCGTATCCTCGTGTCCTCCGTAGTGGGCGACAGGCGCGTACGCAACCGCTTCGTGTCCATAAGCTTCCCCGGCGTAACCGTGTCCAAGCTGGACTATTCCCGCGGAGGCCAGCGCCAACGCACAAAGGATTACTGTTACCTGTACACAGAGATTATACAATAAGATAACTTTTATAACATATTTAGTTTAACAAGCTGTAGAGCGGCGTACTATTTTCTAAAATATAACATCGTCCCCCAGTTTCTATTCTGGGGGACGATGATGGTGTTAATGTTATCGAGTGATATGACGTAGTTTATATGTTGAAGACTAAATACTAGGCGAGCACTGAAGTTATTACTTAGCATTTTTAATTTCGAATGATTAGATACATTGTTACACACTCATCATAACTGAAATCAATCAAAATACTAGCGAGTTATTTTAGGGTTTCGAGTATGTAACTCAGATTTTGGCTGGTTCTTGTAAAACCCATTAAAACTATAGCAATAGATACAACTCGTAGACGATCACACAATATGAATGATAAATATTAATATATTCAGAATCGCTATCGTACCCCTTTACTCACAGCGATGGTCAATTAAGGTACTGTATCAACTGTCACAGAATTAGATTATAGACCAGTGACAGCCTTTCACTCGATAAGGAGTTTGGAAATCTAGGTTTGTTGCATAGTAAATCTGTTTGATTTTATTGAAGGAATCTGTTCCAGATTAATTCCTTTATACAACAGCCTACCACAAAAGATAAATTAGTGAGAATAATCAATATTAATATCGATTAAAATCATAATTAATACTTGCTTACACAAAAGTCTAAAATGATTAGAAACGATGGATTGGTTTAATAATGCATTGATTCAAAATAGCAATATTTCGTAACTTCGAATTATAATTGCAAGCGAGTTGCAAAATTTGAATAAAGTTTGGCTAAAAATGGCTATAGAATATTATATTATAACTGGTAATGTTCACAGATTGAGTCATATATATTTAAACTGAACGAGCCGATTCATATGATGAGATGGAGACTTTTTAGAATGCTTGATCAACAAGGACTTGCGAAAGTTTTATAGACGCAAATCAATTGCGTGTTATCGCGTTTTTTGCGGGTTGGATTAAATCTTCCAAAAAGAGATATGGAAGAATTAAATTAAGTAAACGGTAAAGTAGAGAGTAAAGTTTCCTAAGATCGGAAAAGGAGGATCTTCCGACCAGGCTAGGTTTTCGTGCCTAGTGGACAGTCTAAAAACGCGAAGTATTTTTTTACAATAGGCGAAATATGTCATTTAAGTATTGAGGTCTGGATTGACATCCTTTTCTGATCTGATTCAAACAATATTTCATGCTGTCGCGTTGATTTTTGAGGGTCACAAAAGCACTCTTGAAGAGGATAATAAAAAAACGTAGTTGGCTCGAATTCACTAGCAGCAACGTCGCAAATCCTTTCACAAAACAGGAGTAAACCACAGGATGCACTTACTCTAGCGATCATTTTCCGTTTGGATTAGGTTTGGCCCGACTGCACGATCACACACAACTGATGCCGAGGTTCGGAGCCTTCCACTTTTATATTAGTATACCGGCGAGATGCGACGCAGCACGCGGCTCGGCTCTACGCAAGAATACGGTAGTTTGATAATGATATAGCAATTACGTAAAATTACGTAGCATTCTATGGTTCAAGGTGATAAATAAATATAGTTTTGACAATTGATTTGTTTGTAATTAGAACAATTTTTGATTTATCTTTTCTTCTAACAACCCCCTCTCTAATTGCCAGATCGTTCGATCGTCGCTTTGTTGAAAACCTAATATCTAGGTGTATAGTTAAGATGGAGTGCTTTTAGAATTCTATCACGTTTCTCAACTTTGGTTTCTCTTATGGGATGCTGGAGATAATACGTGATCACAGATGTCTGCCAAACGTTACGTAGAACAAACATGTTTCATTCTTCCCAGACATATTCGCATACAAATTCCATTTTTTGTTTTAAAATGAAATCTCTTGAACATTACGTTGTAAATAAATACATCTTATTGTGAAGTTGTTTTTATTTTTTAAGAAGTTAGAAAGCGGATTATACAAATTGAAAAGGAATTTACATGAGAATTGTAAAAAAAATTTAATCTGCCGTATGACTATTACATTTTATAAAACATTTTATTGTAAAATGTTTTCTTCGAACTGGAGACTATACTGATCAACTCTGTATATGAAGGCTAAATAACAGCTTTACGACTAGATGATCTAGAAGAAATGTATCTGAGCTAGTCAATTAGCAAATTGACAAATTTGGAGGCCGAGATTAGGCAAGAATATGCTTATTTTGCTCTTTAACTTGTTTTAATATGCATTAGTTACAAATGCAACAATAAATACTTTCAAACTTTGATGGATGGGTATCAGATCTATTATCGACACATGCAGAAACCAGTTGCAAGGATTTCAAATACCGGTCTTTCTTCATCCACAAAGACAATTTCCGTGTATTAGTCCTGCATTAGAATTCAAGAAATCATAAGATTAGTGTTGACAAGACGTTGTCAAATTATGCATCTAGGCTCGAGTTTGCACGCCTTTTCGTGTATTGCACACAAATACTTGACGACTTATCAACTTTATTACGCGTCACGCCAAACTGGAATGCCAGTGATTTAACACACGATATATGACTTTTTTTTTAAATGTGCGCTAGAATTTTACGACTAATTAATTATTTTAAAACTCAATTTGAGTGACGAGCCCACTGTTACTTAATCGTTTAAATATATTAATAACACCCAGTACATTCTTCTCACCAAGGTACCTCGTTAACCCGTAATTACGAGGAGTAAGTAGAGCGTTGCTATGCGCGAGAGCAGCCAGAAGACATAATGGTTGCAACTCGACCTTGCTAGGGATTATAAAACAATGTATTATAAGTTTTCGTCACGTTTTCGTACATTAAGTAATTAACCGATTTCTCAGTACAACCTGAGGCTTTAAACTATGTAATTTTTTGAATTATACACAAACAGATTGCTCTCGATTACAGAAATCTGTTGCGGCAGCCACTGTTTACGATTCAAACAAATAGAGGTTCGTCTTAAAATGTGTGCAGATGTACAATGTAGTAGTTGCATAGTACACGACTTAAAATTTACAAGTTGATTATTATTTTGTTAAATAGAATCGTAGACATTATTTATATTATGCATATTGTTCTTGGTAGTTAAGAATATGTCAATAATTGTAAACATTGGCTACTTGATCTTCAATGTTTGAGACATTTTTCGAAATTAATAGCTATCTTCTCAGTCATTACCAAACACACGGCACTTATATTTAGGTTTTTCACATTCTGTGCACTATGTTCTATGATATTTTTAAGAAATTTAGTCTGTTAGTAGTAAAATAAAGTTAATCTTTATATGGAAATGTCATTTCGGTAATGTGTCGTGTACTCGTATATCAAAATAAGTAGGTTTTTATAATTCCGTGACTGTTAGCTGCATATTCGTGAACTACATTTTCCAGTTCATGATTGTAACATCAAGATCTCTCAAAAACGGCAAGTTACGTGTATTTGTAAAACTTCCGTCATCTGATAAAGTTATGATGTAAGTGATGCACTCCTAATATAGTAATTATATTCATAAACAAAAGTCACTTTTATAGTATTTTATTTATAACGATGTAATAGAATTTATTAATTTTTTATTTATCGCTCACCACCAGACGAGATAGTGGACAAACAACGGCCCATCAATACATAGTATAAAACAAAGTCGCTTTCGCTGTATGTCCGTATGTATGCTTTTTTTTTTAAAACTACGCAACGGATTTTGATGCGGTTTTTTTTAATAGATAGAGTGATTATTAAGGAAGGTTTGTATGTATATACATATTGCACCCGTGCGAAGCCGGGGCGGGTCGCTAGTCAAATATAAAAAGAAGAATCTGGTTGTTGAAGAAACCAGTAGGCACAACATAGAGTTACAGATGCATATGAAAAGCATAGATATCAGCAAATATGTCGTAAATTGCCCACGATGGACAAGTATTTTCTTTTTCTTTTGAGAGAGGAATATAATCCAATGACTCTTCTCCCATCATGGTTGAGGCGAGAAAGCATTAGACTCGTTAGTAAGAGGCACTTAAAATCCACCCCCTTTAAGCGTTTTCTGTCCTTCTTAACTACAGTTTATGCTTCGCCTAATGTTATATGTTATGTGTATGCAAACATTATTCCACGTTTTCTTGGTAATTAATGAAATTATTTTCTCTATTACGTCTTAGTATAAGCTTGAATAGTGCGACTAATAACCAATTACAGTTACTTAACACCACAAATCGGATGCGTATGAATTGTTCGCAGCGCTACTTGTACCGGCGCCGACGCAACGTAAATCTAACCATACATGCTTACTTTCTGCTAACTTAATATTCGTACCATTTCCTAGATTTACTTGAAGCGTGAAATCGATATTTTTTCTCTTCATAAATTTCTTAATTGGATTACTTTGTAAGTGAGTGTTAGTTTATTCAAACACGAAAATGTATTGGATATAGCCTTACTCGGTTCATTGCATTTCATATTTATTTACTTATTGTGACTAATGGTATGCACCATATAATGTATAAAAAATCTTCAAATTTTAGACTTTAAATAACGAATTAATCCCAATAATAGATCAAATAATACAACAATACGTAAGTATAAAATTAATAACAATGTATTTATAGAAACTGCTTAAGTGCTTACATTAAAGATTAGTACATTTTATCGAATAATTATAAGTAGTTTAGTGGTGGGCGGTGACGTAGTGAGCAGGGGCCGCATGAACGAGAGGAGCGGCGTGAACGAGGGGTGCCGCGTGAACCACGGGGGCAGCGTGAACGACAGGCGCTGCGTGAACTACAGGGGCGGCGTGAACCAAAGGTGCCGTGTGAACCACAGGAGCAGCGTGAACCACTGGAGCGGGGCTGGGTGGCGCTGCATGCACAGATGGTTCCGAGTTGTGCACGACAGCATTGAACCTATAATTTATAAATAAGTTATTACCATACGCCAATTTCATGCACACGTAACCTAACAACCAATTTGCAGTATTCAATACATTTCACTCCTAGTGCTAAACTGATTTTACGAGTAAATTGCATCTTATTAAGTTAATGACGATGGTACATTGTTATGCAGTTTACTTGCGATGTTATACAACTAACATAACAAGCTATGGCTAGACAGGTGTTCTTCACAATTGCAGCATTGCAGAGTTCGGAGTAATGATACTACCTACGTTATCGACCGAAACAACACTCGATTTAGATTAAAACTATAATAGATTACATTTGTAAACGCTATTAGTCTCGCTAGCTCGGATTCATTAGTAATTTATTTGTTGGATCGGCCTTAACAGAGCCGATGTGTTACGAAAGAAGACAGATGATCAGCAAGATCATATGAATGGAATTGAAGCGCATGTTACTAACATTGTTACTATTTCCGTACGACGCAATTATTTTATTCAAGTCAATGCTATGAACCGAACTTAAGTGTCAGTTTTGCATATGGAAATAAAAGAGTTGATATACAGGTAATGAAAGTAATTATTGATACGTCTTGTATAGGCTCCCAGTTCGAGTGTAATTTGATAAAGGGTGATCAAAGATCTAAATAAATCAAAGATGCCAAGACGACGGACCTTGACTAGAAAAAAGCACATGCGTGTTTAGCTCTTTTTGTAATCATAATTTTACTTACAGATTTGATTCATGGCATATTGATTATGTTATTCATAACGCAATCAATAAAAATATAAAACCAAATTTCAATGTGGTCAATTTCATGGCCTAAACTGTAAATAGACATATAATTAGCAAGTTAATATCTTACCCGTTGTGATCGTCAGCAGTATATTCGACCTTACGGATAGAACCGTCAGGCTGCAGTAGGGAGTATTCTCCTTTAACTACGTCACCATCACGAGACTCGTGCTGAGACTTGTGGTCGCCGGTATGAGGGTCCTCCACAGAGTACGAAAATTCGTACTTAGCAGGAGCCTTAAACATAAACATCAAGTTAAAAAATCATAACATAAACCAGTAGAATGATGTGCTTCCTTCGTGATGAATCGTATATTGATCTATCATATTTTTTATATATTAAAAGATCTATTTTTTTATCGTAAATGAGCAATGGATGATTGTCTATTAGTCGCCTAGAGTGGGGCAACGTTTAAAAAAAAAATGTATTTTCAACTTCCTCAAGTAACTATTTGACGAGGAACTCGACTGGTTTCAAACCATGCTAGAGGCTCATATTCATGAGCAGCATTCCGCGTCGTTTGTCGCGGGAAGTAGTCGAATTCCTCGTCAAACATATACGTGAGTAAGTCGAAAACAGAATAATTAATTTAGTATGTCTCACAAAAGTTTTAGTATGATGTAATGTAAACTTTGAAATAAAATAAGTACAGGAATAAGTTTTACGAACATAATGAGAATGATCACTGATCAGTAAAGTTTAAGTAAAACTACCAATAAACGTTGAGATCACATTATAGCGCTAATTAAAATGATTAATTGACATCTGTCAAATAATAATGGTACAAATTAGTCTTCTTATTCGCAATATAATTGTTTAACTGCAACAGGGAACGAAAACCTAAATGTTGATCAACATAAATGTAATGATGTTTTTGATAAATAGACGTTAATACCAATCATAGATTGATAGATTGCCCCGTACGAGTTACAAAACTTTATAGTCTTGTAATAACTAGGGGGTTACACAATATATATTTAATTGACTTCTATCAATTGATCACAATTTTAATTGTAATCGTACCTTTCACTTCACTTTGTTTGACCACGTGTTCGAGATATTTCTTTGACTTTGACCTAGAGAACTTGCACACAACATTTCCTCATTCTAGCATTATCCAATTTCTCAAATATATACATTTTGGTTCTTAAATATTTATAAGAAAATGCAAGGATTCATTCATTACTAAAAAGTGAATCAAGATTTTTTGTTAAAAGTTCACTATTGAACATTTAAATAAAATTAATGATTTAATTGGTATTGATTAAAGTGACGATAAGTCGATGGACATGAAGGGTTTTGTGCCAAAAAATAAATTAAAAATCGCTTCTTAAGGGCAAATGCAATAAAGAGCCTCGTTAACACATTGAATTCCATTTAAAGAAAATAAATTGTGTTAAATAATATGTTGGTATGTCTCTCTGTTACTTAACAATAAACGTACCCATCTGACCGAATATCATTAAAATAAAACGAATACAGATAATTGTTCAGTTACCGAATGGATGATGTAATATGTTAAAATTGAGAATGTATTAGATGCTCGTGATTAAATCAGACAAATCTAATTATTAATGCAAAAATATCGAGATTACTCATGTATAGGCGCTGTCCACTTTTACTTGGATCTTTCTTAATTATTCTATTGAAAAATACGCGGTAACACTAAATTGTTCCATTAAATTCAGTCTGGCGTAGGCTCTACTGTTTCACTTATGAACTCATTTATTTTGTAACCTCACTATAAATCCTTTTACTGTACTTCGCAAACCTGAATAGTAGGTTTATGTTTTTAGGCAACTTGGTGCATTGATCAAGTTTTCAGTTACGTTTCTATTACATGTGTCAAATGGGTATATTTAAGAGGTAATAGACAAATAAATTACTCACATGATGTTCGATTTGTTCGCCGTGACCAATGGCGACGGGCGAGATGTGCTGCACTACGGGAGCGTGATGAATAGCTGCAGGAGCCACGTGTTGGACTAAAGGAGTAGCGTGGACAATCGGGGCGCCATGTTGAAGGTATGCTGTCTGCTCGAGCACAGGAACTGCACGACGCAGAACTGGGGCAGAGTGCTGCGCCACAACAGGAGTATAAAGCTGTTGTTGCTGTTGTTGACTAGGCTCATCATGGCGAACTATACTTTGACTAGAGACCGCCTGCCCATGTCCTTCTTCAATCAAACCGCCTTGGCATAAAGCCAGCAAACCGCTAATCACCACGATCTGAAATAAATAAATTCATTACAGGATACTAAAAAAAAAATTTCCCAATTTATTTTAAAAGCGTCTTTCTCACTTGGAAGTGCATGTTGATGTTGTACTGAAGTGTGGTACTCGATTGATAAGGATGCTGGCAGGGTTGAAGTTTTTATACGACGGAGGAAGCGACGGAGCATGTCACCCGATATAGAGAAACCGGCCCGATACGTGACACCGCCCGCCACACACGATCACCTTTACACCTTAAATTACGTCATTGCGTTTTTCATTTTCGTTCAAGGTTAAGTTAAAGCTGTTTTCATAAGCTTACTTGCCTGGTTGAAGAAATTTCTAGACTGTAATCATGTTTGTACATAAGAAGTGCTTTGGCTGACTTCTTTTTGAGATAAGTACTTAAACTTAACAGAGTTATCCACATTTTATGGTTGTTTGTAGAAACTAAATGGATCTTTTTCCTTATGAACTGAGGAGTAACAAAAGTTATTTTACTAAGACATTATTACTATCCACTTTCCTGTATAGCTCTAATATCAATTTCGAAGTCATATTTACTATCCCATTCAATACCCTGTATGGGTAGTCTTAAGAGCCGTTTCCAAAAACTACAGTTGTGTCTAAAGATACAAATAAAAATATTTGTATTGGAAATTATTCACATGTGAACAACATTTGAATTGCATGTCTAAACCGGTTAGTGAATTACTTTTATCAATGTTGTATTGATTTGTAACACGATATGCATGACTTGCGTATCTTAAATTCAAGATCATTACGTTTGACCGATGTACATACATAATGTGTGTTTGTTTTGGTAATAAGATTTGTTCTAAAATTAAAACTGAGTACAATTTTGTTTTGTTTTAATAAGAGAATCATAGTTATATCTAATACAATGTTGATCATATTTCCAGGACCCATTAAATCAACTATTACATTTGTTACTCTGATTTAAATCCTAATCAAGTAGAGATTTATAGAATTTATATAATGGCTAGCTTCACAACAAGCGTCCGTTAATCAATTTGTGCATTACCCGTAAACAAATGTCTAATCGCGATTATCTGCTAATAAACCATTCTAAAGGTACTAGGGACCAGAGTGACCAGTGTAAACGGGTCCGAATAGTATCAGCCGGTAAGAAAGTAGCGCTCTGGGTTGCACCGACTGATCCAGTAAACTCTTATGCAATATAAGGTTTTAATTATACTAGGAGCAAAACCTTACCTAATTTATTATATTGTTTAAATTTTTTAACAAAGTTCACCATGTAGTATTGGATTTTCGATATTCAATATATTATGAATGTAGTGTAAAAAATATGCATAGATTTCATTCTAAGAGTCTCAATTCCTTTTCTGCCTATTATACGGTATTGATTGAAAAAAGGTCATTGTGTTGTAAGCGCCAACCTAAATCATCATCAACAGCCTATAAAAGCCCACTGCTGAGCAAAGCCTCTTTTCACATATAGAAGGTTTGAACATTAATCGCCACGCTAGCTCAATGCGGGTTGGCGATTTCAAACTTATAATTAGAAATTATAAGCCCAGGTTTCCTCACCATGTTTTCCTTCACCATTGGTCAGTAGTATATGAATAATCTTAGAAAGTACATATAACTCGGAAAAGTCACATTGGTACTTGCCGTTGGTCGGTTTCGAACCCGCACCCTCATGCATGAGAAGCGGGCGTCTTAAACCTCCGGGCCACCACGACTACATTAAAAGTTGTGATACGATTTTGCTAATAAGAGCAATTGAATTGTATAATTACGGTTACGATTGTGTGCGACAAAGTTAGAGAAAATACTGTTTTCATAATTTAATACAAAATCGAGCTTAAATCTTACAAAGTTCTCGGTGTGCACCCTGCGTTACGACCGGTGGAGCAAGTCGTCGCAAGCGCACCGCATATCTCCCCGATCGATTCGCATCTCGATCGTGACTCCTCGGCGATTCTCGCGGCTTTCTGTGAAGGTCACACGTTGCATTTATCATACGCACTCCGTCGCGAAACCTTTAAACTACCACCATATATCACGCTGATTGTTATTTTGGAGTGTAAATTTTTAAGCTGTCAGGACTCCGAAACGATATTACGGAGATAGCCTTTATAATGATGATGAGACTGTTGTGTAATACTATAATTTATACTTTACCGTTAAGGATCATTTTACCAATGAAGTTTATTTCTGTACTTGTAGGTTATAACTGGAGATTTCATTTACGCTTCCTGCTTCAGAGTCAAATCTAGACTTTAAGTTGTTTATACGAGTAATATTGTATCGAGTATATTAGAGTGTCATTGCTACTTTAGTAGGTACATATTATAATATCATTATTGTTAAACATATCGTTCGTCAGTTTCCCACGCTACTGATACTAAAATGCATACAGATGCGTCCTACATCGTGATTGATGTTAGTCTTGGTAGGCTCGAATCTCTAATGCCAATCTGAAATCTTGGAACAATCTACGTAATTTACGCGAACATAATAGAGATTTATCAAACATGATGAGTGTAATGACCTTGTAGTAAGAACCATGACGGATCATATCAATACTATTAGTCTTGGAATGTTAGTAACTGTTCCAAGTGTACAAGTATCACGCAACTTGCGTATGAGCATTGAACATGCGTTGAAATTATCTCCAATGTCACTGTTAACTTCAGTTTAGTACTTAATCAAGGTAAAATCAAGGCAATTTAATTAAGAATTATTTCTTTAAAACTGTACCTTGAAAGTAGATGACATTTGAACCTGATTTCTCCATTTTTCGATTACCGTATTTTACATATAAAACCGGTAAGTGTTCGAAAATAAGAATGTAATATGGTACTGTGATGAGTACGAAAGGGTACGTTTCGTAACCCACATCAATCAAGATGTTAATAAAACGTGGGGCACTCGATAATCCACTGACAATTATGGCGATACATTTTGGATATTGCGATAAAGATTTTGTAACTCCATATTGAAGCCAACCCAATTAATTAATGAAAATGAACTAAGTGACACGTGTCATCTTAGTTGGTTTAATAAACTTGAAGAGGTTTTAAATGTCAGCGGTAAGCATTTTGATGAATGTACGAGTATGTAGTAATTTAATGAAGATCAAGTTTTGTTATGATCATTAATTTTTGACTTTAATGTAGCTTGCACTCACATTCAAACTTGTTGGTTTGATTTATTTACCTGAAGCGTTAAATAATCGACATTAAAATAGTCAGGTTCGTAAAATATAAATGCAAAGTTATTGAACAATAACAAATCTGAAAAATTAAACGCAAAATGTAAAATACGTGATTTGTATTTACTTTTTGAATAAGGTTCTATATTCCAACGGGACAGAATAATTATCACGACTGACAAAAAGTGGAAGTCTTTTAATCTCTATTCATTGTTTCTCTCCAGGAGAAATATGTAGTGATTTATCAAAACAAATATTATCAGTGATGATATTTCGAATTGAACTTTCCGAAATTTCACCTTATACGGAGGGACATAAATCCGATATCGGTTTAAGTGGTCGCCGTTGTTACATCAAAAACTCGCCGCAAGCTTCGATTCCAAAGAAAGGAGCATTAAATTTCAATAAATTGGCGTCTAAAACTGTACGCAAATATGAATTACGTGCAACACCTACGCTTCGTCGCATTTCTGTCACATTGCAGTACGCAATAAAGGTACATACTGGATTCAAAGTCGTTATGTAGTCAGTCGATATCTGTGTGATCTCAATTGCTAAATGTTTGAATATTAAATAGGTAATATAGGGTTTACCGGCTACCTGCGTTGGGTTGCGCGGCGGGTCGCCAGACTTAAGTTCCGCCAGTACATTTGCTTTCACTCCTTATTTCGGCTCGGACATTGTATGGTAATGTTGATATGCAATTTGGATGAGATCTCATATCTTCTCACGCTCCACTGGACTTGTTAGTGCAATTAACACGTTCAGTCCAATGTATGCACTATCGCAACGTTTTGTTTCGTCTATCACCGTTTACGTTGTTCTAATTGTTATTTCAGATTGCACTTTATTGTGAAACTTGAGAAGAGTTTTTGCATTTAAAATATTTTATGTATTTGTAGATGTTTCACGATCTACTTATTTATAAGTATATACGTTTACTTAATTTATTATTTCTAATACTTACGTAAAACACAAAATAGTTGCTTTAGGTATTTCTGGCTGTGTAAGATTATTTGTAAGTAGGTACTATCACCGCGTCTGCTGTTCCTCATAAGCAGTGGCAAAGATCGTAAAATTCAAAATAATACGGTGTCTGTAGTTTCGAAAGTCTTAAGTGCAATGTTTTTTTTTATTTAGACTATCAGACCCATTTAATATTTATGACCACAGTTATAACCCAAATGAAAATTTCGTAATCAATTATTAAACCAAACTCAATTAAAGCTCAGGTATTATTCCTAATTCATTTACTTATGCCGACATCCCAAACAATTTCCTTTTATAATATTGATTAATAACATTAATTATAAAGGATCAATGTATCATTTTGATATCCGACAATATTTTATAAGTATCAAAATAGCTTCCTTTCACGTAACTATAACTTCCTTTGGAATTGACTTTTCATCATCGTTATTTAACAATTTACTATAGGTGACTTGATAAACCGGCTCTTGGTTTAAGAATCTTCGGTAAGTATGAATGTTCGTCTAATTGTAGGTCACTTGTTGGCCTAGGTCTTCTTCACATGATGATAAATTTTGTGGAATAATTCGGTCATACACATGTTGGAAGTTGGGGTAAATAGTGTTGATGATTCCAGATGTTTTAAGATAGTTTAATTTATTTCTTAGTAATGTTTGGCTGAAGTGATAAACCGTAAAGTTTATATTCTGTCCCGCGGCAAAACAACTTGCCATCAGAAGGACTTTCGATGTATATATTTTTTCTTAGTTAAAAAAATATTCATTGACTTTCGCATATGAGACACAAGATGTCAATTTTTGGACACTTTTCGCATCGCATGTGTCACCCGACTAGAAATATCTCTTCGAGAAATACATGGCATGGTATTTCGATTATGTACTACAGATTCGTATGCAGTTTCGAAGTATACTTTTTGCAATGAATGGTGATCTGCTTATTTTTTTTTAAATTTTATTTCTTTAAGTCGTCGAAGATATCGAGTGGCTCCTCTAAGATAAACAGGATGTTAAATGTCAAATTAATAGGTACTGGTTGCTTTAATTTATCGATTCCAATCGGTACTTATGATAATTAAGATTTACTATCTGTGACCTGTTTTTATAATTAAATTGTATTCATATTTTTGCTAACCTATTTTCACATGTAATAACGCCTGTGTTTTGTACAAAATTAATACTGGAAGACTTATTATTAACAATAATCACCTTTATCTTAAAAGAGGATGAGTCTTCAATCTCACTTGCAACCTCGGTTTCTCTTAAATTGAGACAACTTGTCATTTTCACGAAAGGTTGAGCAGTATCCCGTAAACTTGAACATTTATAATCATCGATCAAGCTGATCAACGACAATTACAGATATTATTTCCAATAATAATAATAAATTGTAATGAAATACTGATCGTGCATCATTCATATTTATAAGAAACAAAGAATTGATTATTCTTAAGAAAGTTGCGCTACTTACAGGACAAGTATAATATTAGAATTAATGTATGCGACAGATTTTCAAAATAAACATAATATCAGACTTTTCTTTTTCATATATCACTGAACCACTACCTATCCTTACCAATCTGTCGGAATAAGGGGTTGTACACAAAACCACGATGCGATGCGATGCGAATTCGTAACGCAGAAAACTACGCTGCAAGTTGCTGCGATGTGATTTCGTGCAACAAGGCGTCTCCCAGGGGGACCATTCCTTCGACGAGCGTAAACCGTACTAAACATATTTTAAATTGAAAACTAGGTCGTTATCGCATAGGAGATACAGGAAAAAGAAACAAAGAAGATTTTGAGATTATAAGATTGATATTTTAAGATTTTGATGCGCGATGCGAATCAATTCGCAAGGTCTTGTGATGCGTAGTGGAGTTCGCATATTTATGCGGTGCGACGTCGCATCGCAGTTTTGTATACGAGCCCCAAGACATCACGAGGCCTTACAACATGGCTCAAATTTGTAGAATTTTCTTGAACTATATGATACCATGTATGTGTTTCGAGTCTTGTCTAAAAATAAACCAATTAGAAATTGATTCAGGCCAATTTATTCCAGTCTTCTTGTTTGACTTACTACCTCTAAAATAGGGATATAATCTAAGCGTAATGCAAAATGGTAGTTGAGAAATTGCATTGTTAAGTAATATACTTTTATTGTTATTATTTAAAGCTGCGAATTTGCTGTAGTAAGAGCGTCAGAACCGCCATTAAAGGTTACAATATTGAACAAAAAATGGCATGTCGCTTGCTCGTTACTTACGATCGGTAATGAAGCAACAAGTTTTCTTCAGATGACTCTTGCGCATACACGTGTAATAAATATTGATTGATAATCGAATCACACGATTAATACGTTTTATTTGTATTGATTTCTTTTTCTTTGGATACTTTATAATCATGAATTCATTCTCATATATTTTCACTTATTACGTTACTATGTTACAGAGACTGAATTAACGAATCATAGTTCAAGTGTCTGAATCTGCGTGTTGGAAGAACCCCTAGTTTTCTTCGCTGTTTATTTTCACATTTGATAACCTTAAGGTAATTTAATTAAAAAATTAGTAGGAAATATGTATGCACAAATAAGTTTGAAACCATTTACATTATCATCATCTTTATTGGACAAAGCTAAGCTATATACAATGTATTGCCCACACCAGACAGAAAAACGATATACATGTAGATAACATACACCTACGAAGATCATTCATGAGACAGATTCAACTCTACATGCATTTCTATTTACAGGAAATATGTTTGATACATTACACTCAATTAGGACTACAGTCTTATTAATTCAGTATCAACGACAACTATTTACAAGCAATCATGTTTTAATGTTCCATAGTCGTGATGTGATACAAATCGATTCAGTCTTCATTCATGTTTGTTGAAACACATTTATCCTACTTGTTGTCGCTGGCCCTGTTCTATTGCACTGTAGTGTATTACTAAATATCATTAATGAGAACAGATGGAAGGCTACACACTCGACTACAAGAACACATTAACACTAATATCACAGATTGGGCAAATATTCTTCTAATGGTGGTGGATGACGGGCGCTGTGTTGTGGACGATGGCGTTAAATCTGTAACACAAAGAATACAATGATTTTAATAGTTCCATACAATGACGTCTAATAGTTATCTTGACATTGATTGTGTTGGTGTTAAGAAAACCTAGAACTTCAGCTTTGTCAGTGTATTATATTTTATAACATTGGTTTACTTACCCATTGTGGTGGTCAGCGGTGTAGGTGACCTTGCGGAAAGAGCCATCAGGTTGCAGCAGAGAGTATTCTCCCTTAACTACATCACCATCACGAGTCTCGTGCTGGGACTTGTGGTCACCGGTGTGAGGATCCTCGACAGAGTAGGAGTAGCCGTATTTGGGATGAGCCTGCAAAATGTATTAATAATAAAGCGATTAAGTCGACCACCGATAAAAAACCTAAGTAATCAATCAATTTCATGTAAAGTTGCGACTCAATAGAAATTTCTCATAGGTCAATTGAAAGGGAACTTAAGATTAATTAGAATATCAAGTTTATAAATATGGTCTTACGTATTCATCGACGTAGTGGTCTTCGTGGGAAGGAGCGGCGTGGACGGCGTGGATAGCGGGAGCCGCGTGGACGACGGGAGCAGCGTGGACGATGGGAGCAGCGTGAGCGATGGGTGCAGCGTGGACTACGGGAGCAGAGTAATGTACTGGAGCCTCATGGTGAACGGTCTGGTCGTGGCGGACGATGCTTTGTGAGGAAACAGCTGGCGCATGGTGGATGTAACCAGCCTGGCACACCGCTACCAAGGCACAAGCGAGCACTACCTGAGGGAAACAATCAGATTTTATTGTTTAGGTTCTTTACCCCTAAATCTTAGCTAATTAGGAAAAGATCTAAGGGGTTCTTTTTTAAAATGCAGTTTTAAAATATTTAGATCATTTTACGATCACACAGCTTTCGAAGTACGACTAAGCTCAAAACGGCCAATTGGACAATGTAATCATAAATTACGTCGAGCGAAATTGTCCTAAATGTTATGTAAGGCCCACTTAGCCTGTATATGAAATAAAGCTTACTTTGGAGAACATTTTGCTTTAGACTCAAATGTCTTGACTGGTATCGGTATGATAGTGCACTCTTTTTATATAACAAACAAAACATAAGCGGTGGTTGTGGAGGGGGTCTATTCCCGACGATATTCGATCGGATCACAGTAATTGCCGCATTGCCAATCTGCTCGCTTTATCGAGTGTCGCAACGCTCGATATCGCTACAATATGTAGAGAAAATGGACGATAAGTGAGAGGCCCATATTGTTATAATTTTTTGTGATTGTTTAAGCCTGATGGTTGTATTCAGGTTTCGTTTTAGATAAATGCATAGTTCATCCGTGTAGTACAGTACAATAACTACGTACGAACGACCAAACACTACAAAATGTGGTTGACTCATCCATGTACAAGGGCTATTCTGGATTATACGTATTATTGTCATAATTATTTGTGACTATTTAAAAACGTTCATTGTATTCGGGTTTAATTTAGAAAAAGCGTTGTTTATCTGTGGAGATGAAAAATTGTTTAGTCACGTGGTTCGTGGTTACATTTGCCTCTTAATCGTCTTGTTTGTATTAACACACATCTATTTTTTCTTTCATAAATGAAGTGATCAGTTGAAAAATCATTACAAGTACCACTTTTTCCTTGAGTTATAAAATTGCATAATTTGTATGTATGTCATACTGTAAAGGTGATTAAAATTGTATTGTCCCACGCTTGCTCATGCAACATCTATTGATGGTATGTTTAAATCGGAAGTTACTTACAAGATGTTGGAAAATCTTTGATTTTGTTCGTGATTACATCTATCCTATTGTTTTAGCTCAATTACATAAGTTTGAAGAATGATATTTTCCATCGCAGAGAGAAATATCTCTTTTAGTTATATCTGATTATATCATTTGTCTGCTAATCGACGTTGGTACATCTGTCTACTGTAAAAGGTTGCATAGCGATTTAACCCGTACTGGTATATCGATGTGTCGACGTTTGACCATTATCTCGCCTGGTTGTAAGCGATGATGCGGCCTACGATGGAGCACGTCTGCCCATGAGCAACCTTGGTCACTCGGGCTCTAAAAACACCCAGGTTATACACTTCAAGAAACATAGACTCTGGCAAAGATTTCCACTCCTTAGCCGTATGCATAAGGTTGGTGGAACATCTATCATGAATCGGTGACGCTTCGCCGTTTGTCTTGTGGGTACAAAGATGGAAAGGACTAGGACTATCTGCTTTTCGAGTTTTGACTGCCGATAGAAAACTGTTGAAGGCAAATTGTCCGCTAACGTCGGTCACCGGTGACCCCCACGGCGTTTAATATGTCAGCTAATTTTGATTTCATAGGTAAGGTCATCATCATCATCATCATTTACGTGTCATCATTAACAACCTGTAATACTCCATCGCTGGACTATGGGCCCTGCTGTACCTGCATAGTCCCTACTATCATAGCCTTTATTTACATAGGCACAGGCACAGGGGTTCAGGTCGCAGATCGCATTTTAGGTATACTGGAAAGTGCTACTCTTTCAAATGTGTAGAACCTTGATAAGCGTTTACGATACTTTCGGGGACATTCATGGAAAAATTAATGAGAAGATGTAGAGAAACATAAATGTTTTAGTTCGTTCACAAATTGTAAAGGTTTATATTTAAATTGTATCTTTCCAATCTACCTGTATTAAGTATGATACATCGACTTTTTTATTCAGTATTTGACAAAAGACCCATAAACCACTTTATAACGAATAACGATTAACGGATGGCTAAGAGCAATGACCCACCAAGGGATCATAGCTGCAATTCCTGGCTCGGGTAAAGTGTTGTTATATTTTTTCGGTTTTTCGTAAATTTTCCGGCAATAACGCCCTATAGCATGGTACTTGTAACACCAATGGTGAAAAGTGGGGGTTATAAAATAGTATGGATTAAACATTTTTGACGTTATGGTGTGCGCTATGTTAATACCTACAACCAATACCTAGGTACCTAGATTCATACATTCATTCCTACAGTCTAAGCGGCTTCTACATAACAGAGATTGTTAATAAGGAAGTAGCAATTCTATCAAGGGTTCAGTGAGCACCAATAGCGTTGTTCTGTAAATAACTGCCAACATTTATCAACGAAGGCTCCAACAGCGAAAGTGCAGTTCGCTGTCGTTCTTGCTCCACTTTATACTAATTATTCCAAGATAAAGCTAGTTATACAAATATTTTACGGCCGCTAACTTATATAGTTCTTACATAATCTTCGAGGGCGTATGAAAATTGGGAATAATTTGATCTGATCCAGTTGCTACCTGACTTCCTGACTTTGCAATGAATAATGTTTAGGTACAGTTTTGTCAGCACCTAACTGGTTAGTTGTGTGCGGTACTTAACAATTTCCTTAATAGACTATTGGTATTTAAAGTCGGAGAGTGTTAAGGAATGTACGTTCGTAATCGTAATTAGTGGTACGTTGGTAATCCAGTTCAACGAGATACAGACAACGATATAATTTGTATTTATTGCTGTGTTAATTGATATTCATTGGTTTGGTTACTTTCGTATGAGTACGTATCAGTATATGTACAATAAAGTATGTTTATTTTCCATGATGTACATAATATGCAAAGATAAAGGTATTAAAGGTATTTCTAGTTTTCTTCAGTTGGACGTGTGATACAATTCTAGTTGGAGGCATTAATTAATGAATTAGGACGTCACTAGATAGTGCAGGATAAGCAGTCATGGTCCTCTAACAGAGCAACTGCAATACGCTGAAAATTTGATACACGCTAAGCTAAATACAAAAAATGAAATATCGACTTGAAATAAAGCTATTTTTGAAGATTTTTTTATTCTCTCATTTACGCAACTTTCGTAGTCAATTGGGATTACTATCGAAAAATAGATATGTTACTAAAATTATACTTAAACGCATATAAATAAAAAATGACGTTCAAATTAAGTAATTGCACTATTATAAAAATAATAATTATTAATAACTAACTTTCCTTATCGCTTCCTTCACGCCACTGGTAGTTGAAAATCAGTATCCTATGTCTTAAAGTGGGTCATGGTCTATCGGTATGCCATATTTCATTAAAATCTGTTCGGCAGTTTTGTGTGATTATGTGATAAATATACAACAAGGAGTTCGTAGTTGCAGTTGTATGGATCAACTGCTCTTAGATTAAACTGCGTTGACTGAAGGTACGCTGATGTATTTGATCACATTTACTAGATTTTGTTATTGATTAAAGGAAATTTTCATTGACAATAACAGCATTTTAAAGTTCTTAGGAAGGGAAGAAAAAAAATTAGTCTTAGGAAGACCTTTAAAATGCCAAAAAAATCTGAATTCTATTCTCCATTTGTTTAGCGAGAATTTCAAAAAATAATAATTCAAGACGTTGGTTGCCTAAAACTACCAAATAAAAAAAAATAGACAAACGAGAGAAAGGAGCCAGGAAAGCACCTTTGTTATAACTTTAATTAGATAAAACATATAATCTAGTTATTCATATAAAGTAAGTTTTCGTTGCATATTTATTAATGAAAACATTACAACATTATTCGTAGTCATTAACTGATTTGTCATTGAGTAAAAACAATACACTTCGTTATATACACAACTAAAGTGTATTTTTGTCTTTGAAGTCGTGGGTAGCCAAAGTACCTACAATTTAAATGTGAGGGCCATGAGTAGTGATAACGGGTCAATAGTACGTGTAGGTAATTTATGGATTGTTAACAATCACAAATGATTCTATAGTCTATCGAACATAACTACAAGATCAGAATCTTACAATAAATATAAATGGATTAAAATCTGTGTGTGTGTGTTATTCCAAAGAAGGCAAAATCCGCTACGACTGATGAAACACTTTTCTAGAATCCATATTATTGTAAGAACAAGAATAAGACAAAATTTTATTTCTGAAAATATTAAAATTTTGCTGTGTCCTGGACCTCGCTCTAGGATTCCCTGTGAACCGGGGCTCCAGCTAGACGTGTAGGAAAAGGAACGGGGTGGTTTTTAGTCAGTAAGAGTCTGACACTCCCTCCCGCCTCACCCAGGCGGGTGCAGTCACTCGATGATTTTCCCGCATAAAAAAAAAAGGGATTCCCTGTGTCGTGAAACCCAGGCTCCCTAAAAAACAGCACAAAAAACATAATGCTTCAATATAAATGTGTAATATGTATGTGTGTGATCTGTATGTAAATGTGTGTATAAATTATCATTGAAAGTTTTCAAAAAAGGAATCTCAATATTATCATTATAATTGGTCTACCACTAGGTATCTGTCGTTGAACCTAGGACTGCAACATTCTCGATTACAAATAACGATTGTTGCCATGTTCAACGAGGCAGTCACTAATATCTTTATTATAAAACAAATACAACAAAATTATGTCAGTGTTTGAAACGTAAATAATAATTACTTTTGTGAAATAGTCATTATAACATTGTCAGAATCATGCGTAAGTAGTCTGTGCAACGTCTTGCATAAACTCAAATCTGGGACTTCGAATTAAAAGTGAATTCGTTTTAAGGTCTCATGGAGGCAGAATACACTGTTCACATTCATTTGTCAAGATAAATGATGCATCTCTTCATTCTCAACTTGTCCCGTTTTTTCAAGATTCAACAGCTGTCCAAGAGATTTTTGTTTCGTAATTTTAATTTATAGCTTCACATTGCCGGCTTTCGCATGTGAGTAATTATGTGACGAAAAAACAGCGGCGCTTGCATACCATGTGACTAAACTTATAAAATTATTGCAATAACGTGTTTGATGTGACAAAGGACCAATACAATTTGTAAAATCAATATCAATATCCAACGTTCAACTAAGAATGTATTCATCTCTGTTTGGGAGATAAACACATATCAAGAAAGAAATTAAAGTATGTGGAGCCCTCTATGAACAACAGACGAAATTGCAGTGAAAACAGTGCTGCCATCTCTTGTCACATGTTGTAATCGTTGCACATGTCGATATAGCAAAAAGTTCATCGAAAGTAAAGGTGGAGCTGGTGTCGTCAAAATAAAGTAAGTTAGGAAAATATGGTAAAATATTAATTTATTAACACATACATCATGGACGACATTAATAAAGAAAATTAATAACAAAAACGAGCTAATTTATGACTTATTTGCTTATGATACTAATCAACAAGTTAATTTGAACCTAATTAAAAACCAACATAGTATATTCTTGAGTGGTAAAAAGATGATGCTACTTCAGAATCTAAGGGTTGATCTTCCCTTGGTGTTTGATCTTCTACTGGGGATGAAGGCTCTTTTGGAGGTTCTTCAATCTTTTCAACGTCAGTTGCTGTTGAGATTTCGTTATTGTCTTTGTCGTTTTCGGGATTAGGAGCTACGACGGACACCATGGCTGGGACGACTTGGACAGTGTCGACTTCTTCGGCTTTTGGTAAAGGAGTTGTTTCTTGAACTGGGTCTTCTACTAGCATCACGTTCTCTGCGGAGTTAATTAGTACCATTTTGGTTGGCTCCTCGTTCTTAACAACTTCGGGTTCTCTCTCTTCATGAACAGGTTTTCTTTCATTGTTATTCTCCTTAAGTTCCATATGTTGGTATTGGTAATTCTTGCCGGGGAAATAGTGATTGATCTTGATACCGTGACCGACTGGGTAAAAGAATCTGGTGTGGTCCGTGATGGAAACGGCATGATCTCCATGCTTGTTTACAGTCTTGCTAACTACTGCATTGAACCTGTAATATTTGAAAAATATTGGGTACAATAAAATTAAGGCAATGATATAGTAGTCGAGGCAATTTTAAAGAATTCCTACTTGATATTTTTTAAATTCTAAAAACATAATTCAAGCTTTATTACCCTTGAATAAAAAACCCAACATAAACAGTTAATTACAGACACTTAATTCACTATTCAATTTCTTAAATGTATGTTTTTTCATTTTAATTCACTATACAAATTATGCATATAATCTTAGTTTTATGTTTAACAATCATGACAATTAATAGCAAGCCTAAAATAGATAAAGTAGAACGAATGAATATGCAAAACGTGAAATTTTGATGCAAGATGCAAATAAAGTCGTGATTTGAATTAAATTCACGGTCAATCCAGGGTCAGGGTGAACTAGTAATAATATTTTTAATTACCCATTGTGATCATCAGCGTGGTACTGCACCTTCCGGAGTGAGCCGTCTGACTCCACGAGGCTGTACTCCCCACGAACTCGGTCGCCGTCGCGTGTCTCATGATGGTGTTTGTGGTCTCCAGTCTTTTTATCTGATACTGAATACTCGAACTCATATTTGGGGTACGCCTGAAAATATTTTTTTAATTATCGTATCTGTTATTTGTTATTGTTAATTGCTAGAAGGCTAAAAATTGGCATTCTTACTGTTCACCTACTTATCCGGAGCTATTTGTACGGGAGGAGCGATATTACAAGCCTGATAAACTAGCCATTATTTAAGTTCTCGTGCTTATACCTTTTACCTAGTGGTCGAACTTGTACAACTTGAACATAACAACTACATTATAACGTCATAATGAAACATCCGTCTCAGAAAATTAAGTTTTGAGTTCAGCATAAAGCCATAATTAGCATGTAGATAAATTATACATGAATTATTTCACCCACATTTCGGTGTCAATGTGACATTCCTTGTTAGGTAACTCGAGAACAGTATTAGTTAGGTAATTACAAATTCTAATGAGTAGATACTAGAGTAGTAATATGAGAATGTTACTCCCTTTCTCTGTTCATAATATACATTTCATATTATTTAGTCCTTGAGGTTTTATACTTACGAAAGGCTCGTATCTGTACATGTAGGTTGACTTCGGCGGATGGTACGTTTTTACCATTTGCCACCCATGAGGGTTTTCTTTATCCTGTTCGTGTTTTTGCATTGTTTGATCAATCAATACTGCTTGGCTGATGCCTATGATGCAAATGGGTATTATTATCTGGAATAAATGAACATTGACGTGAATATAGAGAAACAATTGACACTTCTTAGATATAATGTTTAGGAATAGGAAAAATATCCCCCTTTTGTAAGTGTATTGCAAAGAGTGCAACATTTTACAATTTTCCCAGTGTTTACTAATAGGAGACCAGACGATAATATTTTTAGTCACAATCACAACTTTTATGCACTGAACGTTTCTTAAGCCGAAATAAAAATATTACCTGTTTGACTGGGGATTCAATGTGCAGAAATAGCAAAAAGATGAATTTAATACCGATTTTAATAATCTGCATATAGTAATTATAGAATAAAATACCAATTAAAATAATTGTAAAATAATGGAAATAAAATGTTACCTTTCCAAACATATCGAAGCACTTAATTTGAACTGTCGCCAACAGAATGTAATAGTCGACTGTTGATTAGAAAGAGAAATATAAAGCATTTTATACTATTCCAATACTTATTACATAAATTTCGCTAAAATTGTATTATTGACATACTATTGTTTGGTTACAATACGTAAGAATATAGAGGATCAGCTCAAACTGTCAACAAAACGAATTCTTTAATTTATCTGAACCACTAAACTAGCAACATCCTATCTCTAAATTTCATTATGAAATCTAATAAAAATAAATCTTGTAAGTTCCCTTTAAATCTCAATTATTGTTCCGGCGTATCAACGTTAGCCTAGCCCGGAACTTGAAAGCTGTTATTGTATCATCACTATCCGAGCGATCAAAGGAGGCTTTGAGTACATATTTCTTGGCGTGTCGAATGGAGGAGAGTTGGGGTATTAGAGTACAATATAAATTAACTTTGTAATTTCAATAAAAACCATGTTTTTCAAGAAAGAAAGCATTGGGAAGATAACTACAAATCAAGTAAAGGAATCGTTACTTTTTAAACATGTAAATATTTTTTAGCCACGTAAACCTCTAATTTATAATTGATTTATCCTTATAACTAGCTAGTTAGCTATATAACAGGTATACAACATAGCGCGATATTATTGCGTAGTACCTCGACCAGGTTTAAATTAGCCAGAGGGCAAATACATTGCGCGTTCCACTATGCGATATAATATGGCCTTAACAGATTCTTATCTCTTTGCACTTAAAGTTGGCCCATGACCCATAAGATTGGACAAAACGGGTTGTGGTTGACCTTATTCTCAGTAGCAATACGGGTCAAATCAAAATATTTAAGACATGTGTACCAAATGGCCTTGATAATAACTTAGCCCTCGAACAAACCTTGATCATTACATTAATTAATTTTATTGTCCATATAAAATGATTTCCTTAATTTTATAGTAGTGTTCCATTATATTTTATTCCACTCTAACAACGAAAATTTCACAAAAGAGAGAGGATTTCGCCGATATTACTATCTCACGGCATCAGAACAATTCAATAGATCCAAGGAAGCTATTGTTCGGAAGCGCGTAGCAATATATTGTGTTTGCTAGTTGCAATGAATAGAATACTTTTATTTTACAAAATTAAAAAAAAAAACTGTTGATGAAATATAGTGATAAAACTGTAAAATTTTATCATATGCATAGATAGTTAATTTCAATCTGTACCGTAATAAGAAACAAAATTATTATCGAACTTATTCGTATATTTCATAAATAAATTATTCAACATTCATTTTGGTCAACATTGCTTAGTTGTTAAGATTTTGGTCTTAGTGGTGGTAGTAGTGGGCGGGAGCAACAGCCTTGACAACTACGGGGGCGGCCGTAGGTGCGGTGTTGTGTACCACTGCGTTGAAACCGTTGTGGTCGTCAGCGGTGTATTCCACAGTCCTGATGGAACCATCGGCTTCGTGGAAGGAGTAAGAGCCCTTTACGATATCACCGTCGCGGGACTCCTGCTGGGACTTGTTGTCGCCGGAGTGACCGTCAGCAACAGAGTAGTTGTACTCGTATTTGGGGTAGGCTACTTCCTCAGGTTGGGCGATAACCTTGGCAACGGGAGCAGCGTGGTATGCCACGGCAGCAGGGGCAGCGTGGTAGGCGACAGCGGCGGGGGCGGCATGGTAGGCGACGGGAGCAGGGGCAGCGTGGTAGGTGACGGCAGCAGGAGCAGCGTGGTAGGCCACGGCGGGGGCGGCGTGGTAGGCTACGGGAGCAGCGACGGCGAGTTTGGCCACGGGAGCGGCGACGGCGAGCTTAGCGACGGGAGCCTGGTCATGACGCACGATGCTCTGGGAAGAGACAGCCGCAGCAGAGGAGTAGTGCACGGGAGCAGCCAGGAGACCAGCCTGGGCCACAGCCACGAAAGCGCACAGAGCTACTACCTGAAACAATTTATAAGTATAGGTTAGGAACGATCTATAAATTAAATATTTTTCATTTATTGCGATTTCAAGTGCAATGAGTTATACTTACTTTAGAGAACATTTTGGTTTATTCACTGATGTAGAACAGTTGAATGATGTATGTCATGTCACAGGTCTACTTTTTATACTGATAAGTGCAAGCATGAACAGCTGATTGTAATAAGTAGTGGAAGTAGTCAGACAAGTTCACAGCGACCTTGCTTTGTATCTTGTGTTTGGAGAATCAATCCATTCACTAAAACGTTACTGTCGCGTCACTATATTGAATAGTATGCTAATTATATTTATTATAATCAGATCAGAATTTGAATACTATTAGTTAATACATAAGTAACTTTCAATAGAGTCTTTGGTATCTTTATCTAGAGGTAATTGAAGCTATACGTATAAAAAAATGTAGGTACGAGACGACAAAAATTAATCTTTTATTTTTAGGACTAGCGAATGTAAAAATAATATTTCTAAGAATAACTTTTCATAATAAGATATATATTTATATAAATAAAAAGGAATTTCCGTTCGTTAGTTTTGCTAAAACTCGACAACTGCTGAGATGATTTGATTAATTTTGTTTTAGTCTTGAAATGCTCGTGGAAATCCAGGGAAGGTTAAAAGGTAAGAAAACATTCTTAGGCGGTACGAAGTTTGCCGGGACAGCTAGTAATTTATAATTATTGAAACATTTTTCTAGTATCTTATTATCTAAGGATATATGCATAGGCATATATCTTTGAACTGAGTTTTAATACACACCATTTTTTTTTTAAGGGGGTAAAATCATCGAATGACTGCTCCCGCCTGGGTGAGGCGGAAGGGAGTGTCAGACTCTTACTGACTAAAAACCACCCCGTTCCTTCTCCTGCACGTCGAGCCGGAGCCCCGGTTACCCGTTAGGTTCTCCGCGACTCCGAATCGGCATCGGCCCTCCGAATCGGCATCGGCCCTTAATACACACCATAGGGTGTGTATTAAAACTCAGTTCAATAATCATTATAACTTTAGGACTCATTTAAACTTATTTATTCGAGTTCAGAATATGGGCGACATGAGAATAATGTATTCTCAATTTTCGTTTTATTAATGACATTACCTGCACTTTAAACTCTTAGTAGAATCAAAAAAAGAGGGCTGTAAGAAATAAACTGGCTTAAATAAGACGAACTGAAAGTTTTGCGAACAACCGGTGTGTTATATATTACATACGACAACGTCAGTATTTTTGTCTTTAATTTGAACACTATCGCTTTAAGCAAATTGAAAATATTTTCATCAGTTTTAATTTTGGCTATTTCATAAAACTAGTTAAACTTTAGGTCGCATTAAACTTGCCTTCAAAGGATTCGTTATGAAACGGTTCAGTGAATGTTACGCGTCGCGTAACTATTTGATCCAAACGCCGACGTAAGGTCGCTGCAAGCCTGTTCTGCAACCCATACATGTGCGTGAACACTGGTGACTTGTATATATAATCTAGATCTAACATTGGAACTCTATCATTCATTGTTTGATCACACAAGTGAGACAATCAATTTAATTAAAATGTTCGCTAAGGTAAGTAAAATAGTGTATGAAATTATATGAGTTATTTGCAGTCCGGAGCTAATAATTAAGTTTTTTTTTTTAATATCAACAGGTAGTAGCCCTGTGCGGTTTAGTCGCAGTTTGCCAGGCTGGTCTCTTGCCCGCTCCTGTGCATTATTCTTCTGCTGCCGCTGTCTCATCCCAGAACATCGTGCGTCACGATCAGTCTGCCCAACACGTCGCTGTTGCAGCCCCAGTTGCTTACCACGCAGCCCCCGCCGCCGTCGCCTACCATGCTGCCCCTGCTCACTACTCTTCAGCTGCTGCCGTATCTTCCCAAAACATTGTACGTCATGACCAGCCAGCTCAACGCGTAGCCGTCGCTGCCCCAGCTGTGGCCTACCACGCAGCCCCTGCCGTCGCCTACCACGCCGCCCCCGCTGTTGCCTACCACGCTGCTCCTGCTCCAGTTGCCTACCACGCCGCTCCCGTTGTAGCCCACGCTGAAGAGTTCGACGTAAGTGTTCATGACAACAATAATCAGAGATTATAATAATGAGACACATTTAATATGTCTATTTTCTATCACAGGCTCACCCCAAATACGAGTACAACTACTCCGTAGCTGACAGCCACACCGGTGACAACAAGTCCCAGCAGGAGTCCCGCGACGGTGATGTCGTGAAGGGTTCGTACTCCTTCCACGAAGCCGACGGCTCCGTCAGGACTGTGGAGTACTCCGCCGACGACCACAGCGGCTTCAACGCCGTGGTGCACAACTCCGCGCCCACTGCCGCTCCCGTGCACGTTGCTCCCGCTCACTACATCCACCACTAAATTACCATCACTAGTCATATTCTGCGATCACCAAAACAATGTTGATTATTTATTGCAATATACGAATAAGTTCGACTGAAATATTGTGTTTTATGTTATGTAAACATTATCTAAATCCAACAAAACATTTTAATGAATACGCAAAGCTAAGTCTGAAAGGCCTTGATAGTAGAGGTAGATAGTACTATTTAGGTATTGTTTTACAATTGTTTTACAATACCTAAATAGTACAATTATTGTTTAATATAATTATCTCATTAAAAATCCTATTTACTGTTGTGGCGACGCGCTATGACGACTCAGCTACATAGATGACGTCACAAACTCCGACGCCCGGAGTGTCTCCTGCGACAGTTGGGGCGTGAGGAGGTTTGTTCCCTCACACGCCTCGCCTCGTCTTTGGCTAGCATGATTGCTTCGCAGAAGGAAGAGACGGCATCTCAGTTTCCCTCGCTCCACACCATGGCCTGAACGAGAGGCGGGCGCGAGAGGTCGTCGACGCCGATCACATCCCTGTAATCTCTGTTCCCTAAAGTGTCTTTTTTTGGATCAAAGAATTCATAAATAATTATTTGTGTCCTCATTCGTGGGTATTTTTTATATAAGGAACAAGAACAATTTTATATATTGTTAAAGAAAAAAGGTTAAGGAAAATAATTAACCTACCTTCACTGACGGACTGATTTGTTGACGCTCCAAAAGTATCAAATTATGGTTTAATTGAAATAAATGCTTTGACTTTGACTTTAAAGTAAATATTAAGACAAAAATTGTGACAGTTTTGTACAATCTATCTCGCTTAAAGGTGATTATGGAAAGGTACTATATCAGTACATTATCACATCATTATAAAAATGGGAAAAGAGTAAAATTTACATATCACAGCGAAGCTGTTTTTGTTGAATATCTAACTAAACTAAAATTTAAAAAAGTGTCTCATCGATAACAATAATACAATTAAATATTGATAATATTATTAAACTAGTAGAGCGTTTCTCAGTATTTTTAAATCTGTAGCGCGATTTTTAGTTAATTTAGTATGTCTCACGATAGTTATTTCAAAAGATGATATTTTTTATTTTGCTATTTTGCTTCGTTGTTTCCATATGATCTATGATAAATACAAGAATTAGGAATAAACATTTAAGGACACACATCAGTTGAATGGTTTGAAATGATAAATGGTTTAAGCCAAGCTTCGGCATGAATGGGCCGGCTCGACCGGAGTGATGCCACGGCCTCAGAAAAGACCGTGTGAGTGAGGTTACGGGAGGCCCAATTCCCCCCCCCCCCCATTCCCCAATCCCTGAATCCCCAACAATCCTCAAATTCCTAATTCTAAAAGGCCGGTAACGCACTTGTAACGCCTCTGGTATTCCAGGTGTCCATGGGCGACGCCGATTGCTTACCATTAGGTGATCCGTCTCCACGTCTGGCTTATTCCATAAAAAAAGTAGTAGACAAAAATATAAAGATCACAATTTTATTTTTTCTGTTCTTAAGTCACCACGTAAATCATTTTAAAATTAACAGTAATATTTAAATATTTTATTAACGGTCTATTTCTGTCTGTCCGTTTTTTGGACACAAATAGGGTATGATCTGTTTCATGCTTTAATAAGAAGTCGCCCTCTATAACTCAAAAATTTCAAGTATGTAAATGAAGCCCTCTATTCTTTATTTAAATTTCCCGCGCATTGAATTCATACGCTATCTGTGGATGATGAACATGGTGAACATGTTTTACTAATTGTTAAAATAATAAGAAAATATTGAAGCAATAGTTTTTAAAGTAGTTTCTAGAGAGAAAAAAACTTACAGGTTACAATTTACTTAATAACAGTGGTTTTTATGTTGAAATAAGTTATGTTTATAGAAAGGTAACTACATACTTAGTTTGAATAATGTTCTAGTTAGAATAAATTTCTATTTTTATAGAGCAATAACATAAGCAGTTGTTTTAATGATAACTAACATATTACCTCTATAAGTATAATATGGAAGTTAGAAACGAGATAGAAATTAAAGTTTTTTTCAGTCGAACTTATTCGTATATTGCAATAAATAATCAACATTGTTTTGGTGATCGCAGAATATGACTAGTGATGGTAATTTAGTGGTGGATGTAGTGAGCGGGAGCAACGTGCACGGGAGCGGCAGTGGGCGCGGAGTTGTGCACCACGGCGTTGAAGCCGCTGTGGTCGTCGGCGGAGTACTCCACAGTCCTGACGGAGCCGTCGGCTTCGTGGAAGGAGTACGAGCCCTTCACGACATCACCGTCGCGGGACTCCTGCTGGGACTTGTTGTCACCGCTGTGGCTGTCAGCTACGGAGTAGTTATATTCGTATTTGGGGTGAGCCTGTCATAAAAATAGACAAATTAAATGTATAATACAGCAATGTAAAAATTTAAAATTATCTCCATTTATTATGAGGAACACCTACGTCAAACTCTTCAGCCTGAGCTACGACGGGAGCTGCGTGGTAGGCCACAGCAGGGGCGGCGTGGTATGCGACGGCAGGGGCAGCGTGGTAAGCCACAGCTGGGGCAGCGACGGCTACACGTTGAGCTGGCTGGTCATGACGCACAATGTTTTGAGAAGATACGGCAGCAGCTGAAGAGTACTGAGAAGGAGCAGCATGGTAGGCGACGGCAGCAGGAGCGGCGTGGTAAGCAATTGGAGCCGCGACGGCGACGTGTTGGGCAGATTGGTCGTGACGTAGGATGTTCTGAGAAGAGACAGCGGCAGCAGAGGAGTAATGCACCGGGGCGGGCAGGAGACCAGCCTGGCACACCGCCACTAAACCGCACAGAGCTACCACCTGTAATGAATGAATGTGGTTTACTTTGAATTACTCCAAATAAAACTTATTTAATATATGAATTTATCACCAATTACAATCTTACTTTGCTGAACATGTTGATTAGATTATTTCAGTAATGAGATCAATGACTGAATGATGTGTTGAGCACTGTCTGATTAGTTTATATACCTAAGTTTTATCTGTGAGTGACCTAAACGCACGTGTAAGAAGTGGTAGAACTGGCTTTCAGTAACCTTATACCTGGTGACATAGTTATTCGAATAACGCCATTCACTCACTCTGTTGCTAGCCCATCAGAATCATGTTTTTGGGAAAAAACTTTTCTGTTTAAAGAGCGTGAGTATTAAATAGAGAATTTACTTAGAAATTTAAAATTTCAATGAACCAATTTTAAAGTTCGTCGTAAAACCAAATTTTATCGAGAAATTAAAACTGGCTGTACTTTTTTTTTTGTGTTTGCTTTAATTTGTTAAGGTTTTTTATGGGGAGGGAAAAATGAGTAGATGCATATTCTGATAGTAATCGATTAGCTCCGCTTATCTGCAGAAATATGGTAGGTAGAATATAATTATTATTCGCTTGGGAAATAAATGATGTAACGACGAGAGGTTTGTCATTTCCAAACTTAATACACCGTGAAATTTCGTCTCAAAGTAACATGGTTCTGTCTTGGTAATACAATAGTTTTACAAAGAAATAAATTGTTTAAAACCAAAATTTAATGGTAAACCATTGCAAAAAGCAAACTTCGAAAGTGCATACGAACTAAGTTCATAATCACATCACGCCATGTTATTCTCGAAGAGATATTTTTTGTGGCACGTGCGATGCAAATAGTGCCTACATATTTACGTCTAGTGTCTCATATACGAAAGTCAATGATTTTTTTGATGAAAAAAGTGAAACCTTTAAATTTTCTGTAAATAAAAAAAAAATTAAAAAAATACACCGAATCATTTTAAAGTACTTTCAATTTGAAAGTACTTCATGTTAAGTGTAGTAAGTAGTTTTGGAATTTTTGGTAGTTTGTTCAATCATTTTGGATAGTAAATTAACATGGCTCTTTATTTATGCTGCGTGAAGAATAGCGCCAATGTCACTTGAAACTAGTAGATATTCGTGCAAATGGTTTACACAGGTAGGTAAACCGTAATTTTAATTAATTTAGTATATCATACGAATGTTATAACCTAAAAATATTTAGCAAAATATTTTAAACATTTCGATGTTTGTCCGTCAATCACGCTGAAACTACTGAACAAGCTTTAATTAAATTGGTTTGGGCTGACTTAGGTGATAGAATACTTTTTTTCCCGATTAAATACTCCCAGGGGATAAAACAGGAATCAAATTCTACGCGGAAGTAGTTGCGGGCAACAGCTTGTATTATTTAAAGCTGAAGAGTTTGTTTTTTGAACGTGCTAATCTTCGGAACGTCTGGTCCGATTTGAATAATTCTGTTTATGATTGATAGTGCATTTATCAAGAAAGGCTTTAAGCTATTAAACATCACGCTTTTTTTTTTAAGGGGGGAAAATCATCGAATGACTGCTCCCGCCTGGGTGAGGCGGGAGGGAGTGTCAGACTCTTACTGACTAAAAACCACCCCGTTCCTTCTCCTGCACGTCGAGCCGGAGCCCCGGTTAAAACATCACGCTATGACTATAAGGGGCCGAGCAGTGCGGGTGAAACCGCGTGTAGGTAGCTAACGTAGGTAAAATAAGGCTGGGCGTCGCCTTATTTTACGGAGCTAGAAATAAGATACATAAGGGTTTAAATTGTCATAACAATTTAGTTCAAATGGTTTGTTCTGACTATTTAATGATATTAGAGAAGAGATATTAGAGAGTTACTCTTCTCTACTATCATTACCGAGACATAAATTGTTAAAAATGTGTACTATGTATTGTATTTTAAAATGTTTACTACCACAAGAATTCAATATGCAATGAAAATATCTGTCAGTACAGAAACAGTAACCAACCTTTCAAAAAGATCTTGAAAATGGTCTTTCATCCAAAAACACAGAATTTACTTACAGTATCTGTCTAAAACTGATATATAATCTTTATTTTTTTTATCTGCGCAAGATTAGATTCTTTTGTTGACTAAGCACTAATATTTTTCAAGATATATATAGACATACTTTGGTATTACAAGTATTTTAATTTCAGTTTCTAGGTATTAGTCGTATAACTAAATACATATTTAGTCAACACATTTACAGTGTCGTGATTCGTTCTTTCAGCTTGCTAATCCTTTGGGCTACATCGATAACTTTAGTTCTTTGTCGGATCACCTCGTTACGGATCCTATCTTTCAGAGAGACTCCGAACATAGGTCCATAACTCGCTGCGCCAACTAAAATTGGTGGTCTAGTCGCAATGTTAGTGTCCACGTCTCGGCTCGGTATGTTAGTACTGGTAGGATGCACTCGTTGAAGACTTTTGTCTTCTGGCTTTGCGATAGAGTTGAAGACAAAACCCTATTGAGGTTCCTATATGCCGCCCAGCCAAGCTGTATCCTTCTACGAGCCTCCCTCTTGAATCAATGATAATCAAATAGATGAATTCGATATCTGACTTTCAAACTTTTATGGTAACAAGTTCCACGTTCTGCCAATCATGATGGTAAAAAAATTACATTTTTAGCCAGTTTCCTCAGTATGACAACTTGTATTGTAACACTTATATTCTATTTTTTAACAGAAACAGAAAAGAAACCATTATGTATGTTGATTAATTCATATATTGCTATTAATAAATAAATTATTCATATTTGTTTTCATTTTTCATAATGCATAGTTTAGTGGTGGATGTAGTGAGCGGGTGCCACGTAGACGGGAGCGGCCTTGACGTGCACGGGAGCGGCAGTGGGCGCGGAGTTGTGCACCACGGCGTTGAAGCCGCTGTGGTCGTCGGCAGAGTACTCCACAGTTCTGACGGAGCCGTCGGCTTCGTGGAAGGAGTACGAACCCTTCACGACATCACCGTCGCGGGACTCCTGCTGGGACTTGTTGTCACCGGTGTGGCTGTCAGCTACGGAGTAGTTGTACTCGTACTTGGGGTGAGCCTGTGTCAGAAAACAGTTATAATTAGTGTCTCATAGTCGTAATATATATTAAATACCATATTTTAATGTTGACACAACAATGAACACTTACGTCGAATTCTTCAGCGTGGGCTACGACAGGAGCGGCGTGGTAGGCAACGGGGGCGGGAGCGGCGTGGTAGGCCACAGCGGGGGCAGCGTGGTAGGCGACGGTAGGGGCGGCGTGGTAAGCCACAGCTGGGGCAGCAACGGCTACATGCTTGGCAGGCTGGTCATGACGCACGATGTTTTGGGAAGACACGGCAGCAGCTGAAGAGTAGTGAGCGGGAGCGGCGTGGTAGGCGACGGCAGCGGGGGCGGCGTGGTAGGCGACGGCGGGAGCAGCATGGTAGGCGACGTGTTGGGCAGGCTGGTCGTGACGCACGATGTTCTGGGAGGAGACAGCGGCAGCAGAAGAGTAGTGCACGGGGGCGGGCAGGAGACCAGCCTGGCACACTGCCACCAATCCGCAAAGAGCTACGATCTGGAAATAATTTTGTTTTATTAATGTTTTAAGCTGTAGTTCTTCGTATCACTAACGTTTTTTATTAATCGTATTCAAATTAGTGGCAATCATTACATAGTTTGACTTACTTTGGAGAACATATTGTTTCACTTGTGATCAAACAATGAGTGATATGTTTCAACTAAGATATCTAGTTTATATAGTAGTCCGCACTAGTGCAAGTTCATGTAATACGAGTTGTAGAACGAGCTTATGGTGACCTTACTAGGTCGCACAATTTCGCGACTTCGACCATTCACTAATTGGCAGTCTATTATTGGTAGAAATTATTACCAGTTATCACTTTAATACTTTCATATATTTCATTTAATATAGTTCATTATTCTATTTAGGCGTGTATTTAGGTATATTTTTACGGTAAAGTTATAGCGCTTTATGAATTTCATGAATAAAGTATAAACGTTACAGGAAGGTTTTAGAGAAGACGTTACATACATTTCATTTAATAAAAAAATATATAAAACTTTTTACACAGAGTCAAGAAGAATGACATACGTGTTACAGCAAGCTGTTACTTTTTACTGCAATATCACGGATGGGCAATGAGTGTGAAAGAGCCATGCTACGGCACGCATGCGCCGGCTCAACCGAAGTGATGCCACGCCCTCACCGAAAACCGACGTCGTACAATGCTTGCATTGTGTTTCGTCGTGTGAGTGAGGTTACCGAAAGCCTAATTACGCCCCTCCCTCCTTCTTCAATTCCTGAATCCCCAACAATCCTCAAATTCCTAATCCCAAAAGTCCGGTAACGCACTTGCAATGTCTCTGGTGCTCCAGGTGTCCATGGGCGACGCCGATTAGGTGATCCGTGTGGTCGTTTACCGGCTTATACAGTAAACATAAAAAAATGAGGAAACTTACCTAATTTTGAAGAAATACTGTGTTGCTTTACGTACAACTCTGTGACTTTACGTGGTGTTTTTTGATTGCTAAGTTCAACAAGAGGTCGTAAAGGCCAAGAGGCGGGTTCTTTTAGGGGGTTATGAGTGATAATTCTTTCCTATCTTTATGAAGATCGATTTTAAAAGCCATGGAAGTATCGTGCATTATAGAGTTAGTATTTACTATTAGTTTGCACGCTGATTAAATACAAAACTAGTAGCAAATAACTAGCGAAAAATTTTGCTTCGATGCGCTTCAACTCTGCGCGCATATAGAGGTAAATAAACCCCAAACCCCATGTTCGTGAAGTAACTGCATAAGAAAAGTGTATTAGTATAGATCCTAAGAAATTATGAATCAACATCTGATTAATTAAATACCGACATCATTCGTGTCATTTGATGAATGCATGAATTTGTCGAATAACGCAACACCGACGGTGGGCCTTAGCCTTACTTATGTGCAGACCAAAAAACTATGCGACAAGTACTGAAAACTGCGACCTAAGCTAATCTATCTTAGCTTAGCTCTTGGTTTGCAATCGGCTTTATTCTCGCGAAGAATTAAGTAACGCGCAATGTAAATTTTATTATTTACCTCTCTCAAAAATATTTCTTAGGTTATTTA